ACCTCCAGGAGAATATCAACTAATGCGTTATTTTCCCCCATATTCCCCCCATTTCAGGAAAAATATTGAAGGATAAAGAACCGTTAACGACGTATGGCGTACGCGACGGGATCACCATGCATTTGGTTCGCAGCGCGGCCCCTGTAAAGGAGCGTAAGTGGAAAAAAAAAAAAAAAAAAAAAAAAAAAAGACCCCAATAAATGTGCTCTCTCTTGTATAACCCATGTGGTATACCCCTAAACGCGCAATTGTAATTATGCACTGATGAATTAATTTGATCTTTTCAATCCCCACAGCTGAAGCTGAGAAGGAGACAAACCAGAACGACGGAGTGGGAAGCAACGCTGGCGCCACCCCAACCCCCAACCTTGGCGCAAATCCAGGCGAGCACATGAATGACTTTAGCGACAATCCACTAGTTCAGATGTTTCTGCAGAGTGGAGCGGGAGGTACATCTTCGTGCACGGCTTGTTGTGTCGTCCCTGTGGAGAAGCGTCTTCATGGGCGATGGTTACGTGTCCATATGTTTGTATAGGCCTGCGCTCTATGTTGTACCCTTCCTTATTATCTACCCTTCCCCCCCCACACACAAAACACACAGGAGACTTGAACATGAACGCAGGACTAGGCGGAGCAGACAACTTCAACTTGGGTGCATTCGCCAATTTTCTAAACCCTGGAGGGAACGGAGAAATAAATCGAGAAAGCATTAGCTCTCTGTTAAACAACCCACTTGCAAGATCCCTAATGAATGAAATTAGTAACAACCCAGAAATGCTAGCAAACATAGTGTCTAACAACCCATTGCTGAGGAACACCTTTTCGCAGAGCCCTATAATGCAGCCAGTTTTGGAAAACCCCAATTTATTAAGGGAATTAATGAGGCCTGAATTTTTACAGGCAGGCTTACAGTTTGAAAATGCCTTGAACATGAGCAATGCGGGGAACAACAACGGTGCCAATAATGCAGGAAATAATCAACGGGGATTAAGAATGGAAGATCTGTTAAGTAATTTGAACAATTTCGCAAATGCCAATGCAGATCTTGGTGCAGGAACACCAGGTGACAACAGTAACAACAATAATAATCTGAACAATATGAGTTCTCTTTTCCAATCTCCGGAACTGCTGCAGACGTTCCAGCAAGTTATGCGAGCCAATCGTAACTTGGGCAATTTTAATTTTCCCGGTGCGGGTCAAAATATGGACTTCAACACAACCAATGTTGCTGATAACAGACCACCCGAGGAGACATACGCAGCCCAGTTGTTGAGTCTCCAAGAGATGGGCTTCATTGACAATGATGCGAATATTCAGGCCTTACAGGAAACTGGGGGGGACGTAAATTCCGCCGTCACACGTTTGCTCGAGAAGGGCTTCAATTAGATTGCTCTCCCCCCACCACCACTAGCACCACCTGGCGGCTGATCCAAAATGACACCTTCTGGAACATCGACACGTACGTGCGTATGTGCGTATGTATGTCCGCGCCGCTCGCACAATAGGTAGTAGAAGTAGAAGTTGAAGAAGTACACGTAGGTGAACACGCAGA